AATAATGATTATTATATAAATTTAATTGTATTAAATAACTATACAAAAAAATAAAAGAATGAATCTGTGAGATGAAGAAAGAAAAAAAATATTGACATTTATCTCTCAAATAAAGAAAATTATTGATTAAAATAAAATAAATAATATTCTGATAATTGTTGAAAAAACACAAATTAAGTTTGAAGGGTGAATCAATGGGAAAAAATGGTTAATTGGAGAAGGTGATGTGAAATTATGAGAAAATAAAAGAGAGAGTAATTGAGGAGAATATTTACAAATTGGCATTAACTAAACACAAAACATTATATGGGGTATTTATATGGATACTAAAACAAGTTGGAACCAAACAAAACCCAAAAAAACAACAAAAAACAGAAAACACAGGGCGAAAATCGATTTTCTCAAACATGGAAACCGATTTCCCCAACTAAAGCAGGAAAAAAGGAAAACAAACACAAGTTGCTGTAATCGATTTCCATAAAGCAGGAAATTAATCTCCTCTTCGAATTTTCCAAATTCGATATTTCCAGAAGTGCTTTTTAATAAGTTATTTTCAACGTAGCGTTCCTAGAAGCTTCCACAATGCATTTGAATTATTAAAGACTTCCAATACACCACCTTAATTCAAATGCTCCAAGTTCTTCATGCCCAAGCTCATCACAAGCTTCTTGAAAATCACATTTGTCACACCTTTCGTTAACAAATCTGTAACTTGTTCTTCGCTTCGACAATATCCTAATCTCAATTGGCCTTGACTCACCGATCCCTCAATTAATGAAACCTCGTCCCAATATTCTTGTTCCTCTCATGTGAAATGGGATTCTTATCAAGGTTAATGGCTAAAACATTATCAACCAAAGTGTGACAACTTCTTCAACCTTGGTGCCCAACTCTTCCAGCAGATTGATAAGCCACACAACCTGACAGACACACAATGATGCAGTGATATACTCGACCTCACAAGAAGAGAGTTCCACCATAGGGTCTTTTTTAGAACACCATGAAATTGGTGCTTCTCTGAACATAAATATATAACTAGTCATAGACTTTCGATCATCCTTATCTCTGCACCAATTAGAATCAGTGTAATTGAGAAAATCACATTTTTTTGTCTGTATCAGCTGTGAGAAAGAGAATTATGTAGTTAAGAGTTCCTTTGATGTATCTTAGGATCCTCTTAACTGCTTCCAAGTGAGACACCTTCGGTCTCTCCATGAATCTACTCACAATATCGACACTAAATGCCAAATTTGACCGCGTATTACACAAGTAACGTAACAATCCAATCAATATCCTATATTGTGTTGGACCCACATTCTTCTTATCATCACTTTTGAACAGCTGCAACCTTGCTTCAGCAGGTGTATTGGCAACATTACAATACTCCATATCACACCTTTTCAAGATCTCAAGAGCATACTTTCTTTGATGCATGAGTAGTCCCAATTTTGACTTGTCGAACTCTATGCCAAGAAAGTAAGTCATGATTCGAAGGTCATTCATTTCAAATTCTTCTGTAAGTTCACCCTTGAACTTAGAAATAATCAACTCATTGCTGCCCGTGATCAACAAGTCGTCCAAATATAAGCAAAGTATGATCACATCTTTGCTTGCATCCATTTTAACATAGACACCATGTTCGGAAACACATTTCTTAAAGCCAACGTTAACTAGGAAACCATCAATGCGTTTGTTCCAAGTTCTAGGAGTTTGTTTTAAACCATAAAGCAATTTCTTCACTTTGTAACTATTCTACATAAACTTTCTCCTGAAATGGACCATTCAAAAACGTGGATTTCACATCTATTTGATAAATCGACCAATTTTTGTTATTCGGAAACACATTTCTTAAAGCCATTGTTAACTAGGAAACCATCAATGCGTTTGTTCCATGTTCTAGGAGCTTGTTTCAAACCACAAAGTGCTTTCTTTATTTTTTAGACCTTTCCTTCTTGATTTGTTACCATAAAACCAGGGGACTATTCTACATAAACTTTCTCCTCAAGTGGACCATTCAAAAACGTGGATTTCACATCTATTTGATAAATCGACCAATTTTTGTTATTCGCAATACCAACAATTAGCTGTATGGTTTCTATACTAGAAACAAGTGCAAACACCTCATCAAAGTATATATCTTATCTTTGAAAAAATTCCTTCTGAGACAACCGGCTAAAAATCATCAAACAATGAAGTCGCCATCGAACGTTTTTTATCCCACATGAAGGGAAAGGTAAACATCGAGAAAACTTGAGAAGGGAGAAGTCACGATCTTGCGACCGAGAGGTCGGGTAAGGGAGTCTGTCACGTGAGGGGAAGGTATTAGCACCCCACAAGCCCGTAGTACTCTACGGTATCTACTCTTGTTATCTATCTTATGGGTGTGTTTAATCTATGCTTACTATTTACTACTGAGGAAAAATGCATTCAAAAGAAAAGAGAAAAGAATGTAGGGAAAATAAAATTATGCTCGCTTGGGCCCTACCCCAATGCCTACGTATCCTTTTTGAGGAATCAGAGTTACCGTAGTTCGACTCACATGTTTTGTTTGTTTTGCATTTTTTATGAACATTATTAATTTCTCCTTCTGCCGCAGCTCGACCGTTGGAGACTCACGCATTAGCGTAGAAGTAAATTAACATGTCCTTAGCTGAAAAGGGTTTTTAGAGAAAATGAACTTGGGCACACAAAAAGGTTTGAGTTGGTTTGTATTTTGTTACCTTGAAAAAGGGTTTAAGTATGATTAGCATATTTTATGATTTGCTAAGAAAAGTTTTAGTTTTAGATGCATATGCAAAAGAGAAAGAAAAGAGTCTACGGGAGACTAGCCTATTTCTAAACCTAATGTTATCATACAATGGTAGTCCTAAGATTTGGATTAACAAATGGAAACAAGCACATCCCAAGGGAACATGGTATGGAAAGCGAGTAAACGAACAAGCTCGAAAGAGCACACACATGAAATGGTAAAGAAAAGAAGCAAAATTCTTTAGCCAAGGGGAGCGTATCACTCGAGACAAACAAGCGGGAGTGAGATAAAAAGCAAAAATATGATAGCCAAAGCGATTGAACACCTAACCAAGATATATGAGATCGAGGTAGGCGATAAAAGGCAATATGAACGATCACGGAGTATCAACATCGGCCAATGCAAATCCCTGACAAAGCATGGGGATTTGATTACAAAACCCTTCCCTATTTGACGGACCCGATACACAAGAGCAGGCACAACTCTAAGCATCACGGTGCGCCATGAGCTAAGGATGACACTGACGAAATTGCGGGGGTTGATTGTGAATCCTCCCCGCTCACCTCTTTTTAAGGACTTATCATCTGTACATATGCAGGCACAAATATAAACACACATGCAGAATATCTACTTCAAAGGTAGGGTTTTAAACAAATACAAACAGCATGCGGAAAGCACACAATGCAGAATTTCTCTAAACGGGTCTTTAAATAAACTAGAGGGATTCCTGACATGATCAGCAACGGGGATCCCCGTTATACATCTCCACCCTACTTCTCATGGAAAGGAAAGCATTAAATCCCTACTTCTCATGATTTCTAGAAAAGCAGTAAAGAAATGCGATAAAGTACAGAGAAATACAAAGGTAGTAGTGGCGATTACCAAAAGCAAGCGAATCGTTGAAAGCAGACGAAAGCGATGGAGATGCGAGGAGTATGCGTCGAGCAAGCTTCACCAAGAAACAAACAAAGTCAGAAACAATGTCCAACTAAGCTAAAAGCAAATGCGTGTTGCGAATGTAACGTGTAATCATAAGTTCCTGCGCAAAGCATCATAAAACATCATATGTATCAAGACAACATATAATGTGATATGAATTTCTTAGGACGATGAGAAATCAGGCGTGTCGCATCGGAAGCGAGCATAAGCCATATGCTTCAATCACATAGCAACTTATTACGTTATATGATCGAAAACATAAAAAATGTACCATGTACAATGATTAAACGCGTAAAAAATAACGAGACACAATGGTATGAAAATATGGATAAAAACTAAAAGAAAAAGAGGTATTTTTATTAGTTTTTATACGAGGAAAATTCTTAAAGAAACTAAAGAATTAATTCCTAAAAAATTCTAAAATATTCTACTATTTTTTATTGTTTTTATTATATTTTTTATCATGTATTTTATTGACAAGAATTATGAAAGAGAAATAAAAAACAAAATGAAAATAAGTGAAACATGGGGTGTAAAGTCAGGATGAGAGTGTATGAGCTAGTGAAGTGTTGGGCCCATTTCAGACAAGTCCAAAAGCAATTTTTGTTGCAAGCAGCCATGTTGCAAAATAAAATCAATTATGGGCTTTGGGGGTGTAATCCGGAAATAGGTGGTCTAGAACAATAAACTGAGCGCTAGGCCCGCTTAGTGTGGTCCATAACCAGTATATTTTATATTACGAACTTCAGACATCAAAAAAATCAAAACGGGCCTTAGGGAGAAGAATGATTTGGTCTATATCACATTGTTTTTGTTCAATTGTTTCAAGCTTCCAAAAACCATGCCATTGGGCTTAGAGGAAGCAGATTTCGGCCCAGGGTCTGAATTTAGCAAGCATGTGTCCCATGACAATTTTGTTTTGTTTTTTGTTTAAGTTGCTATCAGGCTTCAAGGTGATTGCAACAGGCCTAAGGTAATGCTATTCGGCCCAATCTCGGAGTGATCCATCAACGACCCGTTTTTGTTCAACTAGTCAGGTTCACAAAAATTTATATGGACCAGGCTTTAAGACGGGCCCAACGAAACCAATATTTAGTCCATTACAGTTTCTTTCACTTATTCAATCTGGTTATCTATTACATAAAAAAACAAATAAAAGAAATAAAACAAAAAACGAATTAGGGTTATATTGGGGATGACGGTTTAAATTCTTCTTCCTCTTGCTCAGATCGAATGCGCCGCTGCCAACACCTCTAAACCTTCGTCGTTCTCTTTGTACTTCCATCGTTAACCTGCTTTTCCTCAAGCGGCGATGCCGCAACATTCCTTCTCTAATCTTTTTCGTCGTGTCCTCATATCTGATAAACCTAAGAACACCGTCTACACCACCGTTTTCGATCTACTTCTGTTCATTTTCAAACACCTCCATTCTGATTTCTCAAATCACTCCCCGAACCGGTAACCTAAACTGCAAAACTACATCGCGCTATGGATTTCAAGTGCTTAAAGCTACGTCGAAAGGGAGTTCGCAATAATTACCTTCCGGAGTCAGTCCGACGCTTCTTCAAATGTACCGAACGCAACTAGAAATCCAAAGATTCGGAGATTGAGGTAACTTTGATCGCCTGCTTCTTCACTTTCACTTTGCTTCTTGTCCTATTCTTCCGCTTCAATTCCCCGATGCGTGACGATGTCATGATGTAGTTGCGGTCGCGAATTCCTGATGAATTCTGTCAGAATTGGAGAAAAAGATTGATGCAGAGTTGATGTTAGATCAAGGTCGAAACATGGTGATGAACAGCGAGGAAGATACGTGCGATAATTGAAGTTGTAAAGATGGAGGAAGTGGAGATGAGAGTGAAGGTATTGCTGTATTTTCAATCAGAATTGAGTGAAGGTAGATGAAGATGATGGTTATGGCAGAGAGAGTAGAGTGTAGAAAGATGGAGATTATGAAGAATAGATAGAATCTGAACGTGTAAAAAAATGGCAAAGTCCCCTGAAATTTGGAAGGAATTTGGATTATATAGGTAGTTGAGGGAGATGAAGATTGTTAGGGATGTGAAGATCTGAGCCATTGAATCAAATTAGTTGGTTACAAGATGGAGAGTGGAGATCGGTTATGTTACAAGACTTTGAAGGTCAGCTATGAAACACTGTTTAAAGTCTTAAATTCCGTTATGAGTTGTCTCCAATTCTGTCAGAAGTCAGTTGTAATTATGTCAGTTAGTTAATTTTCTCTATTAGTAGCAGTTAGGAGGTTAGAAAGTTAGTTACAGAAATTTTGTTGTTCGCTAGTTGGTTAGGGGTTAGAGAAGTTAGCTGACAGTTAGAGAGTTCTGTTTTTCTGTTAGGTGATAGAATCTGTTACAAAATTAGTTGGGTAGTTTGGAATCTAATTACAGTTAGTTTCGAAACCGAGTTTTTGAACTATGCTGCACTTTCTTCTGATTTGTATTGATGAGACCTTCCTCTGATATGGATTCTGTTTTCTACTTTTCTGTTAGGAAGCTGGCCGAAAATTTTCTGTTAAGAGTTTTATTGATATTGGAAAGAATTTGCTACAGTAGAAGTAATCCTGGCCACTAAATCAGAAAATCGGTTAGAGAACGGATGATTGGGATTGAATCAGGTAAGTTTGTTATTGTTTTTAAATTCCAACCATGAGATGAATGATGACCTATCAATTATGTTTAGATTCAATCTCTGATTTTATTTCTCACGGTTTTCCTCTTCTGATCTTATTCTTTTTATTCTTTACTTTTCTTGAACTGAGGCATTTGATTTATATGAACTGGTTTTGATGCTTGGTGCAGGCTGCTTGTTGAAGCTCACATTTCGAATGTATGGACTATCAGTTTCTTCTGATTTTACGAACAAGATACGAGGCAGCAACTTTGCTCTTGTGCGGAGGATCTTTGGATGCATACCTAAACAGGGAGAACCATGAAGAGGTGGGTTGGTGGAAAAAGAAGAGGGCAGGCCTGAATAGTTTCGTTTAGGAATAAAGATCCAAAAAATCAATGACTAATCATTCTAAAATCTGTAATTCTCTTTGTAGTTTTCAACATTCATCTTGTAAATGCAACTGTGCTTGGACTTTTGTGATGTTGTTGATGGATGGAATGTAATGATTTTGTACTTTGGAATTTTCATGTAATGGACATATAATGGCCTTGTAATGGAAGTTTGAGATCAATGGGAAAAAATCACCCATTTAGCACTAACTTCCTCTTCAATTCATTCCCTTTTAAAAAATGATGATGATGAAATGATGTTGATTCAAACCTTGAGCGGTGAATGATGTAAAATTTGGAATCCTTCAGCATTCTTTGCAAAATGATGATGAATGATATTTGTCTCGCAATTTTGAATGAAGCTTGAGCCACGCCTTGAGATTTCTTGTAATCTTGAAGAACTTACACTTTTAGACTATGTATCCATTTATCAAACTTGAATCAAAATAAAACTTGAATGTATTTTGAATGAACATGTCTTGCAAATTTAGATTTAAGCTTGTGACTTATTCTTTGATTTCAAGATAAACTATGAATGAATTATCTATACTTTAAAAACTTTGATTATCTTTATAAGTCTGTAATTTCAAATCACATTGAGCCCTTAACTTTTAATTCCAAATTATCATTCAATTCACAAGCTCTTGACTTGACAACCAATTCTATATTTTAATACGGTGAGAGAATTGACTTGGGTGTTTTGCGTTTGATCGCAATTGTTGAGGACAGTAAGAGTCGCCACTGACTTTTCTTTTATCCAATAAGAAATGGTTGAAAAGAGCATGAAAGACCTTTCAAGATTATTTCTTGAGTTCGGGGGTAGGTTATGAAAAGGGAAGGTATTAGCACCTTTTTCATTCGTAGTTATCTACGAGCTCTTAGTTGTTTGCTAGATCACTTGCTTTTGTTTGAAAATGTGCTTGTAGTGTGGTTTTTGAAAGTATTTTGAAAAAGGTCTTTGTAATGATTCTCGTTTCTATAAGAACGCGTACAAAGTGTTGGTTTTAAAAATAGTTCAAAGAGGTGTTTGTGGAGTGTGTTTTTGAAAGTGACTTTGAAAAGTATCTTTGTAATGATTCTCGTTTCTATAAGAATGTGTACAAAGAGCTTTGTCTTTTGAAAATGTTTCAATTTGAAAATGTTGGTGTAAAAAATGTTCTATTGTGAGCAAGTGAGCAACCATGAGCATCTTACCTACTCAAAAGGTCTGTGTTCTTTTCCTCCTCTTTTAGATGTTGTTATCTTACCATTGATTGATAAGAAGTCCCATCGTTGGATGTGAAGGGACGGGCATGGGTTGTTTGTATAATCATAGAAGGCAACCTATGAGACATTTTAACAATGTCGTTTAGGGACTAGATCGTTTACCGAAGGCAACATCGAGGGTTATCGAGGGACTACGATCTTTTATCGAGGGTCTTTACTAAAATGCCCATATTCGAGGGACATGACTATTTTTCCGAGGCAACAAGTGAAATTACCCTAGAGGTGCAGGTTAATAATGTGTTTGATTGCATGCATTTTTTCTTTGATTTTTGGGTTGTCTACTTGTTGGTTTTATCTTACCATACATCCTAATTACTAACATTTGTACAAAAGCAATAAAAATACATAAAATAAATCCTAAACTATTACAACCATATTGAATAGCAAGAAAATGTAAAGATAAAACAAAGTAAAAGAAGAAAAAATGACTGTTTCGATCCAAGCAGAAACACCTTTTGATTTTGCCCTTCCTGGCTTCCTTCGATTTAGCCTGGAAGTAGTAAGGACATGTATTTCGATTTCACCCCTTTCCTGTTTCTTTCGAATGAGACCTGGAAGTCAGTGTGGCCATCCTTCTGGCTGCCTCTTTCGTTTGAGTCCTGACAGTCAGTGTGGACATCCTACTGGCTGCTTCTTTCGTTTAAGCTTAGCAGTTAGCGTGAGAGGCAACATTCAATTCCTCCTTCTGGCTGCTACTTTCGACTGGGCCAGAGAATCAGTGTGAACACCTTTCGTTTCTGCCTTTTGGCTCCTTTATTTGGACTGTGAAGCAGTAAGGGGATGAAGCCCAAGGCTTCATTTCACACAAAAACTCCTTTTGTTTGGGGCCTATACTGGTTAGTTCTACCATATATTTGACAAGAAAACAAACGAAAAGGGCATAAATGAAAAGTAAACAAATGTCATGTACATGCTTGAAACGAAAGGAATGACTATTCACATGTTATGCTAGAAATGAAAGGTTCCAGGTTAAGAGAAACTTACCTTGCTTGAAGCTGGAACGTGTGTGCTGGACCTTGAGTGGCTGCCCTGAGTGTCCCTGGATTCAAAGGAAATAAACAAGGGTAATGTTTCTAGTGTTGGATTCGAAAGAAGGAACCAAGTGTTGAGTTAGTGTTTCATTGGGTTTTGGATTCGAAGGGAAGAAACAAGTGTATTGTTTCATTTGACTCAAGGTTTGAATATGTGTTTAAGTGTTTGAGAGTGTTTGATAATTTGAGAGTTTGATGATTTTTTCTCCATGCCCCAAAGTCCTCTGGATGTGTTGTCCAGCCCCTTATACATGTTATGGAGCTTCTTATTTATAGGTGAATGTTGGCTGAGGTTTAGGAGAGAAAACAAAAAAAATTGAAAAAAATGGGTAAGGGCCATCAGACATGTCCTTCGAATGGGACACCCAAACATGTCCTTTGACTGGGTCATGTGTGTATCTTTGAAAGGTCAAAATATGTGTCCTTCGAATGAACTATGTGTCTGTCCTTCAAATGCACTAGCTTGTGTATCCTTTGAAAAATGTAACCCAGATATGTCAATGCATGCCCTTTGAATGGGTCACCAAAGTGTGTGTCATGATATAGAAATTATGCGTGTCGAAACAGACTGTTTCTAAAGGAAATATTTCCCATTCGAAGCTAGCGTGAAAAATGGCCAATGCTTTCTGGGCGCTATTTCCTTGTGAATGCTAGCCATGGGGAAGCATTTGCCTTGTGCATATTGGCCTGAAGTGAATCTTGGATCTTGTGAATCAAAGGAAGCATGCAAATGGCTTCTGAATCGAAAGGAAGCTGCAGGAGGCCATTGCCTTGTGCCTGCTGGCCTGAAGAAGGTCCTTGCCTTGTGAATTGGGAGTAAGTGTGAAGAAGTAATTTGTCTTATGAATCGAAGAACATCAACATGAGGCTTTTCCTCTTTGAATCTAAGGAGGCTACAAGAGGCTCTTTACCTTGTACCTGCTGGCCTGGTGGGAGCCTCTTGCGTGCAAGAAGGAAGCTATGGCTCAATCGAAGACTGTATGCAGCCAACCATTACTTTGTGAGTCAAAGAAAGCATGAAGGGAATTATTTGTCCAATCAACACAGGCATGCAAGCATCAAATGTCCAATCGAAGCAGGTATGCAGACCACCATTACATTGTGAACCATGTTAGGCCAATGATGCAATCGAAGGTTGCATGCAGGAAGCTCATGTTTTATGAATCAAAGCCAGCGTGTCAGAGGACAACACCCAATCGAAGGATGCAAGCCAAGCTTGCATCGAAAAAGGCGAAAAGTCCAATCGAAGGATGTGAATCGAAGAAAACTGATTTTTCTCCAATTTTGTCAAAAAGATTTTTTTATCTGTTTTCCCCTTTTTTACAGTTTCCTCTTTAACTTGATGCTGGAAAATATAATTGTACTTGTGCAAGCTTGAATTTTGGGAACCCTTGTGAGAAATTCCTTGAGAAATGAGAGGGAAAATTTTGGGGTACAACAGC